AAAAATACAGCTGGGAAATGTGAGAATAGGGAAAAAAATACAGCTGGGAAATGTGAGAATAGAGGGGAAAAATACAGCTGGGAAATGTGAGAATAGAGGGAAAAATACAGCTGGGAAATGTGAGAATAGGGAAAAAAATACAGCTGGGAAATGTAGATATAGAGGGAAAAATACAGCTGGGAAATGTGAATATAGAGGGGGAAATACAGCTGGGAAATGAAGGAGTACAGGAAAAAATACAGCTTGAAAATGTGAATATAGAGGGGAAAATACAGCTGGGAAATGTGAGAATAGAGAATAAAGTACAACTTGGAAATGTAGATATAGGGGGAAAAATACAGCTGGGAAATGTGAGAATAGGGAAAAAATGCAGCTTGGATATACAGGTATAGAGGGAAAAATACAGCTGGGAAATGTGAGAATAGGGAAAAAAATACAGCTGGGAAATGTAGTTGTAGAGAAAAAAATACAGCTGGGAAATGGAGGAGTACAGGAAAAAATACAGCCTGAAAATGTGAATATAGAGGGGGAAATACAGCTGGGGAATGTGAGAATAGAGGGAAAAAAATACAGCTTGAAAATGTAGGTGTAGAAAAAAAATACAGCTGGGAAATGTGAGAATAGGGAAAAAAAATAGAGTTAGGAAATGTGAGAATAGGGAAAAATACAGCTGGGAAATGTAGATATAGAGGGAAAAATACAGCTGGGAAATGTGAGTATAGAAGGGAAAAATACAGCTGGGAAATGTAGGTGTAGAAAAAAAATACAGCTGGGAAATGTGAGAATAGAGGAAAAAATACAGCTGGGAAATGTGAGAATAGAAGGGGAAATACAGCTGGGAAATGTAGGTGTAGAAAAAAAGTACAGCTGGGAAATGTGAGAATAGGGAAAAAAATGCAGCTCGAAAATGTAGGTGTAGAGAAAAAAATACAGCTGGGAAATGGAGGAGTACAGGAAAAAATACAGCTTGAAAATGTGAATATAGAGGGGAAAAATACAGCTGGGAAATGTGAGAATAGAGGGAAAAATACAGCTGGGAAATGGAGGTAGAGGAAAAAATACAACCTGAAAATACAGGTATAGAGAAAAGAATACAGTTTGAAAATGCAGATATAGAGGGAAAAATACAGCCTGGAAATGTTGGTGGAGAGAGGAAAAAGTAGAGCCTGAAAATGCAGGTATGGTGAAAAAAAAAAATAATAAAACTACAGCCTGAAAATAGAGGTAGAGAGAATAAAATACAGCCTGAAAATACAAGTACAGAGGAAAAAATTACAGAAAATATTATAGTTCAAAATATTGCACAGAAAAATTACAGAAAATATTACACAGAAAATATTATAGTTCAAAATATTGCACAGAAATATGACAGAAAAGTGCTTGTATTTAATGCATTTAATGTATTTAATGTATTTAATATCTTTATTTCATGTCTTTAGTGCTTGCATTTAATGTACTTAATGTATTTAATGTCTTTATTTAATGTTTTCAATGCCTTTATTTAATGTCTTTAATATCTTTAATATTTCAATGCCTTTATTTCATGTCTTAAATGCTTGCATTTAATGCATTTAATGTATTTAATGTCTTTA